AGGTGAATTGGGAGATGTTCCATTACATTGAATAAACCACATGGAAAAATTTTACTTAGTTTATTTATGATTAAAGGAATATTACTTTCCATGAAATGCCGAAACGTCAAATTTTGAAGTTTCCGGTTCGATAGTGAGATTTTGATCCGAGGGTCAGAATGGAATTCTAGAAGTTTGAGTAGCTCCGTAGTGTTGAATGTGAAGTGTGTGCAAAATTTAGGTCATTTGGACGAGGTTCGATAGACTTTTTGATCGAAAGCATAAATTTAGAGTTTTGGAGTTCTTAGGCTTGAATCCGTGGTTGATTCGTCATTTCGATGTTGTTTTAGGTGTTCTAAGGATTGGTATAAATTTGGGTAGTGGTATATGACTTGTTCGTGCTTTTGGTTGAGGTCCCGAGGGCCTCGGGATGATTTCGGGTGGTTAACAGGAAGTTTGCAGTTGAGAGTTTGCAGCTGAAGTTTCAAATCTGCTATCATAACCACACTTGCGGCTTGGGGACTACAGGTGCGAGCCCACAGAAGCGATAAGGGAAGCCGAAGATGTGGCTAAGAGGAAGATGGGCTAGATATGCAGATGCGAGAGTTAGGCTGCACATGCAATGTTGCAGGCGAGGGGAGCATGTCGTAGAAGCGGAAATGTTGAGTTAATTAGAAGTCGCAAATGCAACCTTGGATCCGTGGAAGCGGGACCGCAGAAGCGGATTAGCTGGGTAGAAATATAAAAATTCTTGCCTTCGCGAATTTGAGCTATTTTCACCTCTTTTCAAACGGGAAGAAGCCTTGGGGAGCATTTTCAAGAGAGATTTTTAGAGGAATTCATTGGAGTAAGGTCTTTGGTCCCTAAACTCGTTATTGAGGTAATTTTTATCATTATAAGAATGAAAATTTAAGGAAAATCAATGGTAATTTGGGAGTTAGGGCTTAACTAATTAGAGACCTTTGAGTGATAATTTGAGGGACCATTTGAGGTCCTATTTTGGTACTTTTGGTATGACTAAACTCATGAGATTGTGAGGATTCTGGAAAGGTAAATATCATCCGATTCCGAGACGTGGGCCCGAGGGGCGTTCTGGTCATTTTACCTAATTTCGCGCATTAGCTTAGAATTTAATTGTAGAATCAGTTACTTGAAGTGTTATTTACATTATGCAATTTAATTGAATATATTTGGGCCATTTGGAGTCGAGTACTCGTGGCAAGAGCGTGGTTTCAGGTTGATTTGAGCTGGTTCGAGGTAAGTGGCTTGCTTAACCTTGTGTGGGGGACCTTCCCCTCAGGATTTGGTATATTTGATAATTGAAATGCCTTGTACGTGAGGTGACGAGTGCATACTTGATCTAATTGTTGAAAATTCGATTTTCTTTAAGTAATTTCAATTTTGTTCCTTTTTCCTGTTTTATACTACTTGAAATTTAAGCCTGCTGTTAGCTTAGAAAAAACATGTTTAATTGACTTAATTGCTTATTTGCCTAAACTGCCTTAATTGCATTATGTGAAGCATGTTAGGCTAGAATTTCCTATTTTACTTGGTATGAAATTGAGCTTAATTGGGTATTTCTTGTGTTGTTGCCGCGTGTTTTACTTTGGGACTATGGGACGGCATCCCAGGAGATCCCCTGCACGTATTTATATTGAGTTGAGGTGCGGGATATCGAGAGATCCCTATCATGTATATTGAGGATATCAAGAGATCCTCGGGATACAGAGAAATCCCTATCACGTATATTGAGGATACCAAGAGATCCCTAGCATATATTGAGGATACCGATATATCCTCGGGATACCAAGAGATCCCTAGCATATATTGAGGATACCGATATATCCTCGGGATACCAAGAGATCCCTGACATATATTGAGGGTACTGAGAGATCTTTGGGATACTAAGAGATCCCCGTTATTATTCTTGTGAAGAATGGTATCTTCTTGTGCTTGTTTTTGCCTCTGTTTAAGTTATTGAGTTCCTTATTTGCTTGTATTAAATTCTTATTGTTAGATTTGAACTGTACTGCTTACCTTATTCTGTCATACCTTATATTTTTATTTTATCTCAGTAGGGCCCTAACCTTCCTCGTCACTACCCGACCGAGGTTAGGCTTGGCACTTACTGAGTACCGCTATGGTATACTCATGCCCTTTCTGAGCATGTTTTTCATGTGCAGATCCAGGTACTTTGACTCAGTCCATCACCCTTGAGGCGAGGCGACTGCTCCAGAGACTTCGAGGTATATCTGCCGCATCTGTAGACCAAGGAGTCCCTTTCTATTCTATCTTGTAGTGATAGCCCTTCTACCTTTTCTGTTGATGTAGATATTTCGGAGTTAGAGCATTTTTATTATATTCGTAGCTTGTGATTAATGGGTTTCCAGGTTTTGGGAAAAGTTGTTCAGTTTGAGAGTTTATATTTGTATATGTCGAGCGGCATTTTAAACCTTCATTTTGTTTATTCTGAAGCCTTTATTGTTTTATCTATTATTTTTTTCCTTTTTTCCGCACTTGTTAGGCTTACTTAGTCGTAGAGACTAGGTGCCGTCACGATAGTTCACGGAGGGCGAACTGGGGTCGTGACAAGAACACAAGTCCTTAAAAAACAAGCTTATCTCTGTGATGGGTTTCCATATTCTCAGGCAATGAACTAAATGCAATATGAATAAATGATTCCAAGAAAATGCAACAATTGTGGCTTTTCATATACATCAAATTTTCTGCTTTCATGTCAACACCTAGATATGTTTGACGCATACCCATTGGGCATCTTCAAATTCCTAACCCAGTCACAAATCTTTCGTTTATCATCCAAAGTGTATGTACAACTAGCCTTATGCTTCACCATCCTGTTATTTACTTCTTTTAGTTCTAATTCTCTTTACCTGCAGTATTCTTGTAAATCCATCCTGGCCTTCAAGTTATGTTTTGTCTTATTCTTGTCATCCATAACAGTATTAAATAGTTTATCAAAATAATTCTTCTCAATATGCATGACATCCAAATTATGCTTCCAATAAAGTAACTCCCAAAATATTCTTTGTTTAGTCCAATTATGCTCAACACTATAACCAGGTATTCTAGCCGACGGAGACTCCATCACCCTAGGTAGATCTTTAACCCTCTCCCAAATTTTCTCACCTGACAAGGTTGGTGGTGGCTCATCATAATCTATTTGATTCTTCATAAACGCACTAGTATTTCTCCTGAACTCAGGATCCATTGGCAAGAACCGCTGGTGACAGTCAAATCATGTGTTTTTACCTCCATGTCTCAAAGTGAATACTTTTGTATATTCCATACAGTAGGGGCAAGCTAACTTTCCAGCAGTCAACCACCCAAACAACATTCCTTAGCAGGAAAATCATTAATAGTCCACATCAAAGCAGCACGCAATCTAAAGTTTTGCTTAGTTAATATATTGTATGTTTCAATACCTTCATGCCACAATAATTTTAGATCATCAATCAACGACTGCAAATATACATCAATTGAACCATTTATATTACTTGGAACCGGAACTATGCAAGTTAGCAACAAATATGGACTTGTCATGCCCATTTCAGGTGGAATATTATATGGCATAACAAAGACAGACCAATATGAATATGGTGCAGAGAGACAGAAAATTGAGTGAATCTATCAGCACACAAACCCAACCTAACGTTTCTTGGTTCATTAGCAAAGTTTGGAAACATCCTATCAAAATGCTTCCACACTTTTCCATCCGAAGGATGACACAAAACACCAGGTGGCATTCAATTTTCATGGTTCCATCTCATGTGAGGAGCAAAACTCATTGATGCATACATCCTCTTTAATCTAGAAATAATTGGTAAGTAATGCATCTTCTTAACTGCAACTTTCTAACCTTTGGCATTTGTGACTTCCTTAAAACGAGACAGTCCAAAAAATTTGCACGCTTCTAGAGACGCATCATCTTTATAATATAACATACAACCATTTTCACAACAATCAATTTTTGTTGAGGAAAGTCCTACCTTAGAAACCAATTTCTTTGCATTATAGTAATCATTGGGTAAGTTAATACTCGGACTAATTTCACTCAGAGCCTAATTATAGCATTCATGCCCACTTGAGAAATATTCCAATATGATTTAATAGTTAGTAATCTAACTGCAACAGACAACTTAGAGTGCATTGAGCATTTATAGAGTGGACGACTAGACGACTTTAATGACTCATAGAAGCGCTTTTCCTCATCATTGAGAGGCTCAACAACATTTTATTAGGATTGAACCCCTGGGTAAAAACCAAAAGCATCTGATAGCATTTCATGTAATCGAGAATTTTCAACGTTATTATCCATTTGTGTACTTCTCTCACCACTAACTAGATTTTGAAAATGAGCATCACCAACACTACAATAGTTCTCTTCATGAACAGTCCACACATAATGATTTTCCACAAACCCCTTGCTATAAAGATGAACTTTAACATTTTCCGATTGCAACAACTTTGTACACTTGCATTTCACACAAGGACACCTAATTGTTCTTTCATACAAAATTTAGGAAGTGTTTTTGCATGTGCAATAAATCCTTTAACAACTTAAACAAATTGTTCCTTTAATCCACAACAATTAGGATGATTCCTATCGTACATCTATCTACGATGTTCACGTTCCATCTAGTACACAAACACACACAAACAAATGAATATACTTAGAACAATTTATTTGTTTCAAGTTAATTTACAATTAATTTTGAATAGTATACCTTAAAGAACTCACTTAGTTTACAATTAATTATGAATAGTATACCTTAAAGAACTCACTTTCATTGGTCTTTTTATTAAGTTCTTGGAATCAGTTTAAAAGGCAAACCAAGGTTCTAACACATTGGTTATCATCCATTAATAAATTTAAACTTGGAGGATAGATATAATATTCACAATAAAGGATTTTTTATCAAGGTAAAAGCTAAATAAATTCATGTAGTTGTTCTAGCAATTTAACAGCTGAAACCAACCTAGAAATTAGCAAATGAAGTTACCTCAAGACTTATAATCTGATTTTGTCTTCTTTTATACTTTTGTATCTTCACTTCCTGGTCACTTAAAAAAGTCGGAAACTTGTACGCATATATTCCATGAAAACTGTTTGGAGAAATCGCTATTAATGCGCAAGGTTAGGAAATCAACTTTTCCACGTACAAACTTAATTAAAGTAGCATAATTCCATTGATTTCTATGAGAATAGGAAACCTATATTTCATTACCCTATTATGGTACTTGAAAACCTATTGAAGTTAATTACTCATAACAAGTAAAATTTAAGAAAAAGTAAGTAACTTTCTCTAACAAGTTAAATTGCAATAACACTATAAATATTTTATTGCATTATCAAAAATTTACCATCAATTATTGGAGTAGCATATTCATAGGGCTATTATCCTAGATCGTAGGAGTAATAGGTTTTCATCTAAAAAGAATTAATCTAACTCCTACTTTTAATGAAAAGTGATAAAAGAAAGGAAATTACTTCGAGACCTGAGTCTTTCACCTTTGACCCATAAATGAAACAAACAAAGTACTAAGTATTTGAAAAGATAAAAATAAAAATAATAGTAATCACAAAAAGAGTAGTAAACAGTTAACTACTACTACTATATTTCAGATGCTCTTCATTAGGATTACCCTTGACCCTATATCTAATGACAAATAACTGATTGGAAGCAATTGAATAAAAATACCAAAGAGTTTTTTACCAAAACATAATAGCCCTTCAAGCTACTGAAAGTCATTTTCAGGCCCTTCAGCACTGAAGAAGTTGCACCAAGATTTAAATAAACCATTCTTGAATCCAAGTTGAGGTTTCCCATATCATAGTAATTTAGTAGACTAGGACATATCAAACTATTGACACGCACAATAGATCAAAATTGAAAACCTTTATAATGAAATTCCATTAAATTAAAGACAGAGAAGCAGAATTGTGCATATGCTTGAAAAAAGAGACATTAAATAGAGAAACTTCACTACAAGCTAGATTGAATTTAAGCTGCAATTAATAGTACCACAGAACCATGGAAACTTCATAACAGACGACGTAATCTCAACAAACAATAGGTACGAGACCAACCTTGTTGGTAATGTCATCATAAATTTCTGTATTCAGCTGACATTTTTCCCCTCACCTATCACTAAACACACAAAAACCAACTAACATAAAGAGAAGATTGAAAAACTTCAGAAGCAAATTCAAAAAAAATCTACAGTATAAGAAATGACCAACTTAATCTGGAATCCTAGGTTTAGTAAAATCAGAAAGGAGGAAATTAAAGAAAGGGGGGAGAGCGATAGAGACAGAAAGAGGGGGCGGAGCCTTACTGATTTTTCATGAGCTTAGTAGCTCATCAGCGAAAATGGGGGAATTAGGTATGCTCGATCGGAGAAGAGAATGAGAGAGAAAGAGAAGAATGAGAGTAAAAAAGAGATAAAAAAAATAAGGGGTATACCTAATGTAATAGGAAATACTTTTCCACTGATTCACTAGGTACTTTTGGGGGAATTTTCTTTATATAAATTAAATTTTATGGTGAGATAATTTTTAAACTCGTGGGTTTTTTAGACCAAATATAAGAATTCAAAATTTTGAGCTTCCTACTACATCAGTGGAAATATTAAAATAATTTTTTTTTCTTAGGTTCCTGCCATTTCACGGGTTAGATTTTAATAATTTTATTTTTAATGACATTCCCACTAATTCGGTGGGAAACAAATTACGCGCTTTTTTGCACCAACTAGTTCCCACCTATATTCTGTGGGAATATTTTTAAAAAAAGGTAAAGGAAAACTTTTCTATTTCCCACTGAATATTTTTATATTTCAGTGGGAACTGCCACTGATAATATATCTGTGGGAAATTTCCCTGGAAAATTTGCATTTTTCTAGTAGGGAGCTTAAGTCTATGATATTGTATTGCCGTTGAGGGTTGTTTTAAGCTAAATATAACTTTTATTTCGACTTGAAACTACTATATGAGGTATTTGTATTGTGTTCTTGCATGTTCTTAAGGTTATATTGATGTTGATTAAGTTAAATGGTTGGACTAGACATGAACTAGTGATTAAAGTTGCTAATTGAAGATAGTTGGAGTTGTAGAGTGTAACGACCCGACCGGTCATTTTGAGAATTAATGTCTCGTTCCCCTATTAACTGCTTTCCCTGTATTTATTTTTGCTATTGTGAGTTGTCGAGAAGATTCATTTTGACTTTCGGAGTGTTTTGGAATACTTAGTCCCTAAATGAGAGCTTAAGCTTTAGAATTTGGACTGTAGTCGGAACAGTGTGAAGACAGCCTCAGAATAGAATTACATCCATTTCGTTATCTCCGTTGGGTGATTTCGGGCTTAGGGCGTATTCAGATTGTGTTTTGGAGGTCCGTAGTTTATTTAGGCTTGAAATGCCGAAAGTTGAATTTTTGAAGTTTCCGGATCGATAGTGAGATTTTTATATCGGGTTCGGAATCCGATTCTGAAAGTTGTAATAGCTTTGTAGTGTTGAATGTGACTTGTTTATAAAATTTGGGGTCAATCGGACATGATTTGGTTGGTTTCAGCATCAGTTGGAGAATTCTTAAGATTTAAAGTTCATTAGGCTTGGATTGGAGGGTGAATCGTGGTTTTAGCATTGTCTGATGTAATCCGAGGGTTGGATTAAGTTCGTATATTATTTTCGGATTGGTTGGCATGTTTGATTGAGGTCCAGGGGGCCTCGGGTGTATTTCGGATGATCAACGGGTCATTTTTGAACTTATAGAAGTGGCAGATTTTCTGGTGTTTTGTTGCAGAGAAATATTTCTTTGCGTTCACGAGAGGGGTCTCGCATTCGCGAAGAGTATCGTGGAGAGGCAGCTAAGTTGTGCTTCGCGTTCGTGATGATGCTCCCGCATTTGCAAAGGAGTGGACCCTGTAGCCTATGCGTTCGCGAAAAGGTCCTCTCATTCGCGAAGGGTCCGCCAGTGCAAGCTACGCGTTCGCGAGTGGACCCTCGTGTTCGCGAAAGAGGAATTTGGCCAGTGGAATTTTTGTGCATCGCGTTCGCAAAAGTGGTCTCACATTCGCGAAGAAGAACGCATCTGGGCAGAATTTAAATTCAAAAATCGAGGGTTTGAGTTCATAACTCAAAAATTGGATTGAGAGCTCGCTAGGAGGCAAAATATAGAGAGATTTTTGGAGGAAGTTTGTGGGTAATGATTCCTAACTCCATTTTGATTATAACCCATTAGTCTAAACATAAATTCATCATATAATTTCGGATTTGGGGTGAAAATTTGAGAAAAGTTCTTAGGCCTAATTTTGGGGTTTTGATCAAGATTTTGGTGTCAGATTTGAGTGAATTTGGTATGGTTAGACTCCTGAGTGAATGGGTGTTCATAATGTTTATCGTAAAAATGGTAATAACAATTAAATTTGATTATGGGACTCTAAAAATACGTGATCTGTTTTTATGCTAGCTTGTTAGGCAATTGATGCTATGTGAGGCTTAGAAATGAAATAAGAGCTAAGAATAGGGCGATAATCAAACCGTTGGGCCGATAATCGGGGCCTCGATTCTGTCGATTTGGGGCCTCGAAGTCGATTTCGGAGCTTGGCAGGGAGCTATCGAGGGGGTCGGAATGCGGCTAACATTTAAAATAGAATTAACAGATGCTCTTTATGGCCAATACCAAGCAATAAATGATGAACAATAATGAAGATAATAAATAAGAGCAATAATGTCAAGAGAATATGTTAGAGAGCGAAAGAGAATATTCTTGTATATTTCATGTGGAGCAATTGAAGCAACAGCCTACAAGGTGACAATGATCCCCTTTATATAGGAAGAGGAATCCCATCATAGTACAACAAGCATTAATTACAAAGATACGAAGATGTGAGAACTAGATGACACCCTGATTCGGGTCATAGACTAGTCCACTAGGCTTTGTCAATCCTAGCCGTACGCCTAGGGAGCTTCCCATTCATACCATCGTCGAGGTCGTCATTACCCTGAGTGTGAGTATCGACTACCCTCGAGGGAGGGTATTCGGTTCGTGGACTTGGGCCTTCGAGGTGATTTTCAAAGGCATTGATGGCATTGTTGGCCACATTATCATCCCATATAAATTGGGGCCTTTCAATACTATCTTTTTATCCACAGGCTTTTCAACATCTTTCCATCCCTTTCTTCTCATTGTCCTTCTTCATCAATACCCGACATGTTTTGGGTCTCTGGCTTTAAGGTCTTATGGCGGCATTCTTATCAGCCACACCATGGCCTTTTGCCTGGGTTTTCCAGTGCTGAGTGAGACTATACTTTCTCGTCGCAGTTGTGGTTATTGTTACGATTATCACTACAGTCGTTGTTGGATCGACGTGATGAGATATGGGGGTCGGCCTATTTTGAATTTTGAGGATGTTTGGAATCTACCCTACTGCTCGAGAGAGTGTTCGAACTATACACCGCTGCTTACTCTCCTACCCTGTCCTGGTGTGGCAATTCATCCCTCAGGTTTCTTCCCAAGGGATAAAATGGAACAACCGGTCGTTAAGATCACATGGCCTAATGTCCCGGAAGGTGGACTTGAAGTGGTCATGCGAGTAGGGTTAAGGCCCGCGAATCTTCTACCTTCGGCTTCGGCGGGCTGTGTCTCTTTTTTTTT